GAATCCCTAACATTACCACAGCCCACTGAGAAAGAGTGTTAGTGCTACCTTATTCCTTCTATAACCGTAACGTACCACTACCGTGGAGCCACATTAATAACGATGTTGAGCTTTTTTAATCAGTGAAATGTTGACCGTCTAGGAGCCACTGTCCCGTCTTAGGGTGTCGCTTCTGCAGCGCTACGTGGTAGTTTATAGATAGATCTAGTATGTCTAACCACTGCGATAATTTATTCAGTAGCTCCTCTATCATATATCTTAGCTTAGCCATTCAATACGTATAACCGCACTTACGGTCCGCGCGGATTTATAGGCGATTCATCCGCATGGAAAGTTGTTCATTCTATTCTCGTACCGTCTCTAAATCCTCATAAATCGCTCTTAATAATTCTCTTCTACCGTTAGTAACTATTTTCCTCTCTAAAGTAGTCGTACGCACATTAAGTCTTTTATTAGGGCGTAGTTGATGAGCGTCTTTAACCGCTCCATTCGAGTTAATACATCTTTCACTTCCTTTCTGGTGAATTTCCATAATATTGCTGATTTGACCTTATCTCTTTTCCTAGATATCGGTAATTATTTTACTATGGACTCAAGAACACCTTTAAACTGGTCGAGGGGGCTATTTAGGACTCCTAACAGCTTCACTTAATTAAACCAAGGGTCGTTGGATCGGGCTTCTTCCACTTAAAAGCGTAGACTGGTTAAGAGACCGTAGAGATTATTAGCCTTAACTACTACCTTCTTCTGTTCTGCGGTTATATTTCTCGCCTCATTGATGTAGCTTACGAGCGTTAATGTAAGCTGTAACACAGTAATGATGCTGGCGGTCATTGATAGCGGATCCATCGTGTAATGTCCCGGTCGGGCAAGGTTACCGGCGGCGTGGGCGAGTTGGTCATCACCGTAGCTAGAGGTGGGGAGGACGAAGAGAGGGAACACTCGGTGTGGTTTACAGGTAGAAGCGTCATGTGTTTAACCGTGACATGGTAGGATAGGACGAAGCTTGTAAAGAAGTCATTGTGTTGGGGATGTGAAAGGGTGCTGAACGAGTTTCTAGAATGAAGATCCCCAACCATACTATTATGGGGATATGTTTCAGCTGGTCAAGGGTTAGCTGCGATCAGGCTTGGAACGCTGTTCAGCTTGGAGGGGCGCAGGCAGTCTTGGCGGCTCAAGCAGAGTAAAATCTGCACGGCGCTCACTTGGGGATCACCCCCGACCGTGCCGCTTTTAAAACCGTCACCTCACAACTCACCCTCGCTCATCCACTCCTCACCCTCTACTCACCCTCTACTCACCCGCCGACTCACTCTCCCCGTCGCCCTAACCTACGACCGTCCTCATTCGTCCTGCCGTCATGTCGGCGCGCCGGGCAGTGGATGTGGCCCATATCTGGGTCCCTTGGGACAAAGTCCTGCCCTTCGTTCCCTTGGTTCCCTACAGCTGAGAGCCCCTCCCCTTCCCTCTGATTTCCCTCCTCAGCTCATTGTCGCGGAGGACATAAGGGAGTCCAGATCCAGCCTGGCCGGCCGTCCGACCATCTGAGAAATCCTCCTTCTCGAATCCTCCTCTATATCTGCGAACTCTCCCGTTCCAAATCCTAGCTTTTCATACCCTACAAGACGTCGCCGACATCCTCTCCCTGCTCCTTCTCGTCTCGTCCTCCTAAAATGGGCGGACAAGAGACTACCGCAGACAGATTATGGGCTCAAGTAGACGCAAATGGGTACACAAGAGGAGCGCATGCGGAAGTTGATTAGGTCCGGGGAGGGAATAATTATATCTCTAAGACGAAAAAAGATCACGATTGGACTCTATAATGCTACGTTCTATAAGAGCTCTACTAAATTCCTTCTCTTACCCTTCGAAGAGATAGTCGACCCTAATATTATAGCCTAGCTAGCACCTAAAGTTGATGAGAGACGATCACGAGCGAAAAGGACTCCCTCCCCCAGACGAAGACGCGGCCCGCAGCTAGTATCTCGGCACGGACGTCCCTACTCCAGACCTGGTCACTGTGAAAGATTTTCTTCGATCGGAGCTGGCGTATCGGTGGGTTACCTATAACTGTCCGTTGAAAAAGGAGTTTGGTGACGCCATCATCGTTGGCGCGAGTACCGTCGAGCCAGGTGACAAAATTAGTGGCACAGCGTTACGTCACGCCACCCACCAACTAGTTGCCAACTATTTACGCACCCACAACCACGAGCAACCCACCACCTTTGTGCTTTAATTACTCTACCAAAATGGTCGCAAATCGTCCAGTAACACCTAGAGAGGAAGAGGAGGCCTTAGGGAACGCTCAGAACCCAACACCAGTTAAAGAAAAGGTGCGGACGTTAACGCAATTCTGCCAGCAAAAGGGCATCGATATTAGTCAACAGGATATCTTCAGGTTCTGCCACGTTCCTCCACGGACTGGATATCGCTATATCGCTACATCTCAAGAGCCTCGAAGGCATCATAACTCGCCCTATCAGACAGAGAATCGTGGCAGGAAATCTCTCCTCAATAACAGCGACTTTGAAGTCTTTGAAGACTGGATACTACAGGGTGGATTTGACCACCGTATTTGCACCTGGCTTGAGGTCTTTCACGAGGTCTTTCTAGATCGCAGGCAGATCTCTAAGCGAACTATTCAAAGGGCCTTTCACGATCGAGGCTATTATAAATACGTTGCCTACCAGAAGCCTTTTCTAACGGCCAAATCAATCAAAGAACGTCGCGAATATCTCGCCATTCGACGGCACTGGCCACTACGCCAATGGCGAAGAGTTCGCTTTTCAGATAAATGCCATTTTGGCCGCGGTCCACAGCGTAAATTACACATTATTCGAAGGCCAGGAGAGCGCTACCATCCGGATTGTATACAGAAGACATACAACGAAAAGACCTTCAAATATAAGAACGAAAAACGCTGGCATATATGGGCCGTAGTTGGCTATAATTTTAAGTCCAGATTGATCTTTTACGAGACCCATTCGTCAAACGGTAAGATGACCACTACAGTCTATATTAACGAGATCCTAACGGAGGTTAAGCGATGGATTGATCAAGGCGATAGCGACTTCATCCTTGAGGAGGATCAAGACAGCGCTCACGGCATTGGCCAGAACTCTGCCGCCAGGCGCTTCAAGGAACAGATGGGTCTTAACTACTTCTTTAACGCCTCAGGATCGCTAGATCTATCGCCGATTGAGAATATCTGGAGGGCGTAGAAACAGAGGATTAAGTCGATCGATCATTTTGACGACAATAGCCTCGTTCAGGCGATCAACCAAGCGTGGTAGGACATTCCGCAGGAGACAATTAACAGGTATATAGACAGCATGATTGATCGGATGAATAGCCTAGCGCTCAGAGATGGAGGTGTTACAGAGTACTAGGGGTGAAATCTAGGCAGGATTCGCTTCTAGACGATGTTCTATACACTGTAAATTACTAGCAATAGGCATAATTGAGAGTCGTTGCGGCATCGACTTTGGTGGGGTGGCCATTTTGGCTGTGCCACTTATTTTGTCATCTGGCTCGCCGTCTAGCAGCACGAGCAGACCTTGACAAGCATCGAGAAGGGCCCCTTGAGTCAGAAGGCTGCCGAGGGCATTGACAAGATCTAGGAAGAGGTCAAGCACGAGGCGCCACTGGACAACTTCACAAGATGAGGCTGCTATCTCCCGAGTCTCGGCGTGAAGAGTCGATCTCGAAGGGAGGGCAGCCCGTCGTTTGCTCTGGCCGAATGAGGCATGTAGACTATATGCCGCCTGTTGTACTCTCAGCAATTGAAATCGCGTCGCAGCCTGAGGCATGCGGCGGTCTCAATCTCAAAGCCAAGGGTTGAATCACAGGGTAAAAGGGGCTTGAGGGGCTGAGGGGCTGGAAGAGGGGACCGTGTGGCGGGCGATTACGTGGTGCTTAGCCCCTTGGGCCCTATAACGCACTAAAAGATCGGTACCTATAGAGACTATTCCACACCAAACGCCTTCGAGAATGTACGAGGTGGCCAGGGTTATTTCTTTATGCGGGTTTCTGCAGGTCGAATCCCTTATCAAGCTCCCACTACCCATACATTGGCGGGTCAGCTGTTGGAAAGTACAGCACCGATCGGCATGAGACGAATCACAGGAAGAGACCTCAAATCCATTGGTTGTTGTCAGGATGACCATACGCCAACTTTGGCAGGCGTCCTCCTGTGCGATCGGGATAGATTGGCTCTGATTGTGTGCGAGCCGTAGGTCTCGATCTCGATTTCCACCTCCAACTTCCATAAGATTGAAGCTTTTCCCTCTGAGCGCCGCCTGGACTTGCGTTCTTCTGGCTTTGGCCGATGAGCATCATCGAAGATCATCCCTAACCATTGCCAGCATGCGTCTCGCCTGAGATGTGTGGGGGGAATCCTGGATTCCGGCCAAGTCGACAAAGTCGAATGTTCCAGACGGTGGTATCAAGGAGACCCTGCATCAGTGTTTGCAACTTTCCTTCTTTGTACCATTTGGGCTGCTTGTGTCCACATCTTGGTGTTCACTTGATATCGCATCTGCTCTGCCTCACCAGTGCCCGACCGATTTTCGTTTCGCTGAGTGCAATGAGTGGTGGCAAGGACTTGAGCTCGCCTTCGATGTCATCCGCACGCAAGCTTGCAAAATTGTGCGATGTGAACTGGGATGTTTTGCTTCCGCCTCCTCGTCACTGGTCAGCCCAGATGAATTGCTGCACCGGAGTTCAGAGCCCGCAGACACCCCGGCAAGATCTCTCTAAGCGACCAGAGGGTGCTCTGATATTTACGTCAGGATACGTCCCGTTACTCCCTATAGGCTTGGCTGCTATCTCATTCCGTACCCAGCAAAAGACGGCGTCTCTGCGATACATCTTATCCTGAAGCACCTTGTCGCCTCGCTCCCCCACCGAAGAATTTCGAAGTCAGCTAATTCTGTTGACTCTGCTATGAATTACTCGCGTCAGAGAACATACGACCGACTTTGTGAGCCGGAGTGTTTCCGTTAGATCAGCACGATCTTGAAGTGGTCGATGGTGTAGTTTCTGATCCGTGGTCCAAAGAAGTACATCGGAACGGCGAGAAGCAGAGCAAACCACCAGATCCCTGCCATTGTACAGAATGCCTAGACGAAGGTAAGCCATGATAAGCAGAGTCTTCATGGTTGGACTTACCGCGGAGTACCCAACGCTGGCAGTCCAGGGGATGAATCCGTAAAAGAACCCAAATGCGCCAATAGCCTTCAATCCGTTCATGAGGAGCAATATCTCGGACGCTACCTCAAAATACGAATCGACCGAATAGGTCATTGCAATGATGGCTATGTTAGGCATAACACTCACGAAGCCGTATCCCGCATAGAGAATCGCCCAGTGCCAGTGGTGTTGAGCTCCGATTCCGAACAAGAGAATTCCAACAGGACATATGACTGCGGCGAAGCCAAGGCAGATGAGGCGCGATTCGGGAAGGAATTTACCTCCGCGACGGCGCGCGTCGTATCGTACATAGAGATCGCTTAGCTGTCCGCCGAAGAAAGCGCCCACTAGATTTCCAACTGTTGAAATGGCTAGTTAGTCTTGGATCCTTTTGGGAGACCAAATTAACCTCTGAGAAAGATCCAGCAGTACTCACTTAATCCGGCGAGCTGGACTAGACCGTTCACTCCAGGTCCAAAGTTGTACGGAGGGACTTGAAAGATAAACGAGCTGAGAGAGCCGGCAGCCATGAGCCATGCAAGACTGACGAGGACTGGGGTTCAGTAAGCATTCATTTGACACACCATCGCTGGATTTGGGACATGATACTCACACACAAAGGTGCCCCAAGCAACCGACGGGTAGAACAGCAACGGGAATGGCCGGATTAGATGGGTCACATATGAGTGACTGGCGACACCTGAGAAAATTTTCATGTCCTGCCACATGGTCTTCTTCTGGCCCACCAGCACCGGGGTTGCACTGAATTCCTCTATGGCGGCTTCTTCTTTGTACTCATGATCTTCTTTTGGCTGGTGCGTTGCTGAGACAGTTTGATCGGCCTCGTTGTCCAGGGTCCGATTAAATCGCGTCTCTGGAAGAAAGAAAACGATGCCAATGATGTTTATACCAGAGAGAATCGCGCTGAGCCAGGATGTCCATCGCCAGCCAATTCCTATTCGTTGTAGTACGTTAACAAATGCCCAAGCTTGTAGTGAAACACAATCTGAAGCACAGATTGGTTGATTACCTTGAATAATAAATCCTGATATAACCGTGCCCAGTGAGTTTCCCAGATAGATTCCCAGCACGAAAATCGACACTTTTTGACCCCGTTCATGGAGAAAGAAAATATCCTGCCAGCCCGTTAGTACGGATCAAGCTGGGGAGAAGCTTATCGAGGGAAAAGAGCTGGGGATACATACGTTGACGATGACAGGTCCCAAAGCCTCGTGGCAGGACGAGAAGAAAGACCCGATAGTTCTCGATGCGAGGAGACCTGTATACGAAGTGGCCACTGAAGCCCATATCTCACAAGCGAACATAGCGATGACGCAGGTGAGAAAAACAGGTCTTCGACCGATGTAGTCTGCGGTGGGCACCCAGAAGAAGTTCTACCCGTGAAAGCGTTAGCAGAGCCAGTCCCGGCTTTCATTAGGGCCAGCCATCGAGAAGTTTCCACTCACACATAGTCCGGCTGCCAGCAGCGGCCAAGTCAACAAACCTGTTGCTTGAGAGGTGCCGATCTTAAATTCGAGACTCAGCAAATAGAATCCAGGAGCTAGACCGCCCAGCCAAAAGTTGCAGACAAAGGTAAGAAGAATGACATTGCCAAAGATCGTCCATTTCTTCCACTTTGGGAATCGCAAGGGGTCGTTCACGTCATTGGATGGGTGAGGGACGAGCACAATATCAGTAGCACCCAAATGCGGATTGTGCTCGTCTTGCGTCTCTGAGCTATCGACGAGCGTGACCGCCTTCTCGTGGTGGCCCACCTGTTGCAACGTTCGGAGCCTCATGGCACCTTCCAACGAGGATAATGTCGAGAGGAGTAGATCTGATTGGAATAGTAACTTGGACAAGATCACGAGGTCAAAATGACAATTGGATGATCGGAATCTATATATGCGCGGAGTAGCTCTCTGACCTTGTTGATCTGGCCTCTGAGTTCGTACGGAGTATTCGCGTGGCAACTCCACAATCTCCAGGTTTTCCATCGCAAGCATAAGTCTCTGGGAATCTCGACCGGGGAAACGTGGATGTAAACTAGGCCCAATCTTGACCGGGCCGGTTTACGGTCCTACGGCTTCTATCAACGGAGTTTCGGCTATTGCCAGATTTGGCCAGTGCCTGAGCCACCACGTGCACCACCAATAGCTTCGGCTTCACAGTACTGTAGGGGGCGTTTCACTCCTTCAGCAGAAGCATTTGATGTTTCTATGAGTTCGGAGCGGCTTTGGGTGTTTCTCATCAGCAAAGTTGCTCCGATTAGACAGCCGCTTGACGAGATTGGATAATGTAGAGGGGCTGTAACCAGTGCTCCGTGCACGGATTCGCAACGGGTTGGGAATATACTAGGCATCCGTTTTTTGGGCCGCAACTATATAGTAAGGGCTTCAGTATAAGTTTGTTTGGTGATGAACTAGGGGTCTAGCAAGCTTAGTATATCTCGGTGCCGCGACAGATGTCACCTCAAAGTAGCGATGTAATCATAGAATGTCTTTTCTTGTGCTAGGCGTTCAGATGATCGAGGAGTATTTGAGATGTTTGTTGTGATATCGCAGTAATCAAGCGTCTTCCAAATTGCCAAGGGAGCTTTTGATCTCCTCGTGAAATTGCCAATTGCCCTCAGCGAAATGTAACTTTTGAACTGACTTGGCAATCTTCCAACCTGCTTTAGTCCTCACAACATTCATGTCGTACGTCCCTGCGATGGTCTGATATGGGCTGCCATTGGCTTTGCGATAGTAGTGGCTTGCATGCATGAGTACATGGCAAGAAGCATTGTCTCCGTCGATCACTATGCTCTGAGGAATCATGATGTGTTCATCACCATCTAGCTGTCCATGAAACTTTTCGGCCAGCCGACACCATTTGTCGGCGGAAATCCGAAAAAGACCCCCACCGATCGTTGGAGTGTGATCTACCTCGATTTCGTCTCCGTAGCATGTTCTCAACAGCTTGAAATCGTGCGTATCAGTGGCCTGCCCATAACGCTGTACCAAATCGACGATCGCCGTATGATCGAGAAGATAGTTAACCTTGTCTTCTAGAGTGCCGGTTCGAATGCTTGCAAGCTGCTCGGCGGTGGTGATGGGCATTGTTTTAAGATTTCGTCGTCGTTTAATTCGTACAGACTAAAGTGTGACTAGTCCTCACTCTGAGAGGTTTCTAATGAGTCTGCAGAGAGTTATTGTTTTAACGATCTTTGCTTCGAGGATGCAGGTAGTATATGAAAGCAAACCGAGAGTTCAGCTTTACTGAGACAATTGCTTCTGGAACTACAACGTCTTAAATTTTCAAACTTCCAAGGATGACCTTTGGAGCTAGTCTGATGAACGCAAGACACAGGTTGAAGCCGTGACCAATGAATTTGAATTGCCAAAGATCTACTGAACCCAGTCGGCTTCACAGAAGTCTCGGGAGTACGAGGCGGGACTTAAACCCTTCTGGGTTCCGAGGGATATTTCTCCTCGATCGGCCCGTTGGGGACTTCCCTGTAAGCCTCGTCACTTCATCTGTTGTTCTCATCGGAACCATCGCTTCCATTTGGACCGAAGCTTATGAGTCCTTTCTCTCGGAGCACCGTCGGCAGTTCGAATGGTAGCATTTTCCAAATACGATAATCTTTTGTTCTACGCTCCCAGCCAGCAGGAATACAATTGATCAAGGAGGCACACCTTTTGTAACATGGAAACAGACCAACATCTCGTCGAGTCCGGTGACATCAGTTCAAGCAGTCTTCGGTTGGAGATTGTCTCTGGTAAGGACCCTGCATGAGAGCGAGACCATGCAGATATCCGTTTGAATAAATTGGATGGGAGCGATCCAATCAGATTAGCCAACAAAGATAGATGAGAATCGAGAGAATGCACCCGGCCTAGGCGGACTCGAACTGTGGCTCTTCCTTCTTTGACCCAAGGTCACCGAAGTGCTTAACCAAAGAGAGCTCTCAACAAAAGGCTCAGCGCAGTAGAGAGCTCTTGCTGCTTTGCAAATTCGGAGTCGTAGAGATACAAGGCTTCTCAGCTTTGCCGACACTCATGCAGATCATGAATGCCTTGCTTCTCGAAGTTGATATCGAGGAGGTCTATATTAGGTGTGATATATCGCCGTGACGGCATAGTTTATTCTCAAGAGATAGATAGCTCTTCGGAGATGACTTTCCAGCCTCAATCTTGCTGCTTACCAGGGGCTAGGTTTCCACCCCTTCCTCTCATCTACTGCTTGACGAAAGGCTTTTGGGGGGTGGGATATGCAATATGTGCAGTCAGAGACACAAGATACGGACTTTTGCCTGAAGCCACCGGACTTTCCCCTAGAAAGTCGCTGGGGAACCCAACATCGAAATCAGTCTCACTCTCTAGGTACTTGATCTGTTCGTCCGTCAATTTGACGCTCAGGGCCTTAATGTTGTCGTGCAGATGCTCGACTTTTCTCCCGCCAATGATGGGAAGCACGCCCGGTGCCTTCTGTATCACATACGCGACCGCAATGGTGCTCAGACTCTCGAGGTTATGTTCTCCGGCAACCTTTTGAAGCGCCGCGGACATCTTTGCCTCCTTTGCGGTCTGTTCGTGGCGTAGACTCCCACCGGCTTGCTTTCGTGTTTCGATTTGTTTAAGAGACTGAAACTGGCCTCCGCCTAGCACGTCCCACGGTGCAATAGCCATTCCAAAATGCCGCGCCATGGGGATGATGTCGCGCTCAAAGTCACGGCGCATAACGTTCCAGCGGCCTTGGTAGACGCTGAAGGGTGTCTTGCCGTGATTGTGTGCGTACTCGTTCGCCATGCTGACGACCCAGGCGGGCGCATCGGAGATGCCTAGGTAAAGCACTTTGCCTTGATCCACAAGGATATGGAGGCTGTCAATGATTTCTTTGACCGAGGTCATCCAGTCCTGCCGGACAGGATCAATAACCCACATTAAATAAACAGACATGGGAGAAATATCAACTGACCCACCAGTGAACATAAAGCAGATCGATGTAATCGGTCTGTAGCTTTTTGAGGGAAGCATTGATGGACAGGTGGAGAGATTTTCTGTGATTGCCAGCGTAGTTGACTGTCTTACCCTTGCCGAGTTCGTGGCTGCGATAGTCGGTGGTGTATCTGTTCATGCCGTTAGTGGATTTTGAAAATGCGACAAGTAGCCAGACAGAAAAGGCGTACTTAGTTGCCACAACCAACATGTCACGGTTTTTCCTCTGTGACATCCATTCTCCAAGCCATGTCTCTGACTGCTCATCTTGATAATTGTTCTATCCATAGGGGTCAGATGCAGGAAGGACATGATTGCCGTAGATGGGACATACCGCGGTGTCGATGAAGTTGCCTCCAGCTTCGTAGTATGCATCGAGCAGCTTGAAAGAGTCCTCCTTGGTCGTCTTGCCCAGCCACTGCCGATAGAAATCAGATTCAAGCTCAAATATTTCTAGCGTGCATAAAATGATATTCCGACCACTTACTTCTTGCCATGCATCACCCATAGACAAAGTCCCAAGGCACAGAGGGGATACTCTTACACCAGCGGTGCTGGACAATATCCTGTACCGACCCAACTCGGTGGGCGGCTCAGCAGGTTGTTTGAAGGTATCGCCCATATCTCCTAAGAGGAAGAGACGCTGCTTGAGTAGTGGCTTCCACGCTGATTTGGGAGATTGAATGCAAGTTATTGGATGAAAATGATACGTCGTTGGCTGTGCCAAAGATCAGGACATCTACCAACTGTGTTCTAGCAAGGCATAGTTCTACACGATTCGCTGGAATTTCCTCGAAGCTGTAGACTCTTCTTTTCCTGGAGGCATCGGGAATTCATGGTGGGCCGAGAGACTCAAAAACTATCGCCACGCCGCAGGATTTTCGAATACTCGCAACTCACGAGGTGATCGAAGCCGCCACTCTAGTGCCCTGCGAGATTCCGTTCCGTCGACATGTGAATTCCGCGGCATGTCGCAGCAACCGGGAGCCAATTACAACGATGGCGAGGAGCGTTAGGGTGCGAAAATATCCGCACTCCAAGTCGTAATTTCAATGGTCAGCCGGACCGAGAGACTTTGAGCCTATGAATTTTGCGGCGGTAGGCTATTGGACACAACGGGTCTGAACAAGCAGAATGAAACATTCTAAGTTATTGAACCAGAGTGTGGTATTCCTATGGTACAAGATCAATCGGGCTCCCCGTCTGGCCGTCCTGTGATCCGTAACCTTGATGCTTCTCATCCGCGTAGCACAAAGATAGTCCTGAGAACCAGAAAACCTTCTGCGAGGGGTCCAAATTCCTGATCTCGTAGAGAGACGGTCATATGTCTCACTATCCAGACTTTGATTCTTTGCCCAAGGTCGACAGGCAACCTCAAGGCAACGCCTGGGGACTGTGGGGCAAGGACGACGAATATGGCAGTACGAGCTGTGTGTCTCAATCTAGAGGTGCCACACTGACACCGGCGCAGCACTGAATTATCTGACACCCGATGTCGTGCGCAATGCTGCACAAGAAATCAAGGCCGGTGTCTCGATCCAGCTGGACCTGAGCCTGGACTATTTTGATTACCGCATTGGCGGACGTGAAGCCTTTGAGCATCGAATCAAAGATTTCAAAGAACCGAGCGAAAGCAACAATATCAATCTATATGCTCACGATGATGTCGTCACCTTCAACACACAGAGCAGCTCCCAATGGGACGGTTTGCGACATGTCGGCCTCCAGAAGACGGGCACATACTATCAGGGCCTACAACATTCTGACATTGATAACAAGCGACACGATGGTAGGCTTGGCATCCACCGTAAGGCAGTGGCAAGACCTGGGGAAAGCTTGCTTGGCTGACTTTATGTATAGGGTGGGTAGAACGAGGTGGAATAGTAGGGCGTGGTGTATTATTGGACTATTTTGGCTGGAGACAACAAACGGGCCAACCTCCCGTCGCAGCGAATTCAGCCTCTGCAATTTCCACCGAAGAGCTCGAGGCGGTGGCGAAACACCAGGACACCGAGTTTCATGTAGGAGACATCCTCATCATCCGTTCGGGGTTTCTGCAATGGTACCAGCACGCCTCAAAGGAGGACCAAGTCGAATCGCTGGACAAATACGCCTTCATCGGCGTGGAATCATCCATGAACAGTGTCAAATGGTTGTGGAATCACCATTTCGCTGCCGTGGCCGGTGACACGATAGGGTTTGAATGCAACCCGGTAGACTTCAACGACGAAGGCGTCGTCAAACTCCACGAATGGCTGCTTGCTCACTGGGGAACGCCGATTGGGGAACTCTGGGACCTCGAAAGATTAGCAGAGGTTTGCCGAGAGAGGAACCAGTGGTCGTTTTTTCTTACCAGCGCCCCTCTCAATGTATTCGGCGGGGTTGGCACTCCTCCCAACGTAATAGCAATCCTCTAGGTTCTTCTTATGCGGCCATGGGTGTCAGACCTTAAGTCGAGAAGTAAAGATCTAAGACTGATCCATCGCCCAAGGGTTCAAACCTTCGCTGATCCGTCTCCAGTACGCATTCAATTCGTTTGAGATGGAACCGACTTAAGGCCATGGTAAAAATCAAGCTACAGTCGAAGATGCTAGATCCTGGAATGCTCTTTGTTGCCACTTTATCGCGACTAAGCAGTGGAAAGTGTCGACAAGGGCGGCTTCCATACCCACACTACTTCTGCAGCACAGCTTTCGTACCACCAACTCCCGTTCGTACATGAGCTCAGTCACCGGCCGATAGTATGCTTCGTGCTTCCTTCGCTTAAGAAATATCCCCACGGGACTAAAGATCGTGGCCATGAGAATGGGGAACCAAGTTACCGCCTCCAGCTACAATTCCAGTCGAACCAGCCACCAATGTAAAATGTTAAATTTGCTATCCACCGGAACTAGCGTACATTTGTTATTCCGAGTTCATTGTGGTCACCTATTCGCAGTCACTCTTGATGACATTTGAAAGAAACAGGAGACCTATAATGAGGCATATGTAACCTCAATCAGCATGGAGGAGTTTGACAGCCTCCAGTGCGAGGCTTTGCCCTGTGTCCGAAATCTGATTGTTGAACTAAACATCGGATTTTGGGCCCATAACCATCTCTACCTCTTCTACAGTTGGTTTCGTTCTGCCGACCATGGCACTGACGGTATTTGTTAGGTATTTGTCGACATCTGCCGTGAAGAAAGCGCAGACAAAAGCCAAGACACTGAAAGCGATAGACGAGAAAAAGACCACCTGGTAGGAGTCTGCGGAGGCCTGCTTTAAAGCTGATGACCCATCTTGAATGATCGTTGCGGTCACTCCTTTGACTTCTTGCAGCATGGTAACGTTACCGGAGGTGAGGGCTTGGAGGAATTGAGTGACACTTCCCTTCGGAAGTCCAGCATCAAGAACGGCCGGGACAACTTGGCCGGGAACTTTCGAAGATAGCTCGTTGGTGAGGATTGTCGAGTAAATGGCCGCACAGCCGGCACCAAAAGAGGCTCGAATGGTTCCCATCATTCCACAGGCTACGCCAATATCTTTTTGATCCGCGATATCGATTCCGCACATGATCTGGGCCACTCCATCGGCCCAGCCGATAAAAAAGGTGCCCAAGAATAGCAAAGCAGTTGCTCTGGCTCTGGTATATTGGTCACACGTTGTCATACCTGATGCTTGTTAGACAATATCAGAGAGCGGAGGAGTCTGCGCCGACGTACTTGATAGGCAAATTGCACCGGCAGCGATACTGCCAATAAGCTGGAATTTTGTTCGGCCCAGTGGACGTGACAATCCACAACCAACAATCTGGCCCGCAGTGATTCCGAGAGCAACGACGCATGCCTCGTAACCCACTTGCAACAGGTCGTTAGGGTCGCTGTAGAGCGCCGTGACCATTCGTGGCCAGACGAGAGCGAACGCGTAGTAGACGCCACCACAGACTCCGATCAGAATCACCACTGCAACCCAGGAACGGCGTCTAAACAAGCCCTTTGGCACGAATGGCTCCTCCAGGTTCATTTTGGTTTCGTATGTTGCAAAGGCAATCAGTGTGATTACACCGACGACCAGTGTCGAAATGACGTACGCAGAACGCCATGGGTATACACTTCCACCCCAAGACAAGCCGAGAAGGAACAGGACCTCGCCGGCAATGAAGAGACCCGTGCCGAAGTAATCATATTTCTTTAACCACTTGTAGATGTCCTCCTTGCCATGCTTCTCCTCAAATGTCGGCGGAAAGTAAAATGCGATGAAGAGGATCAAGGACAGTCCGTTCCACATGATGTTATAGTAGTAGCACCAGCGCCATCCAGCTTGAGTGTTCAAGATGAAAATGTACGCCAAAGCTGGCCCAAAGCCCGCCGTAGGCAGCTGCCACAGGTAGATAAAAGATTGTGCTGGAAAGCGGTGCTTGACCGGGACCATCTCGCTGAGAACTGACGTGTAAGAAGCTCCCCCGGCAGCCGAAAGTCCAACAAGGGCTTCGCCACCGATCAAGACAGGGACTGATTTAGCGGTCGCACATATGATGCATCCAATCAGTCCCAAAGCGCTGGCGAAAATGAGGAAATACCGTCGTCCGAACAAGTCGCTGAGACGGCCGATCAATGCCAACCCAATGCCTTGACCGATTGAGTACACCAAGGCTACCCAGATGATAGAGGGATCTGGTCCGATGTCTTCGTTGACTATGGACAGAATAGGAGCAATTAAAGCGAAACCTCCGGTGCAAGCGCTGAGGTTGAAACAGAGAGCGAGGTAGGTCCCAAGAAATGGTAGACTGTAGTAGTAGGACTTGCCGACATCTGTCACATTGATCTTTGAACCGGTAGGTTTTTCCTGAACATCTTGATTTGAGGACTCCATGGCGGAAGACATATCAGAAGCTGGGCGTTGGGTCTGGACTTGAGAGCACGTAGAGTAGACGCTGTCAATAAGTGCCATAGGGTTCATTTATCAGAGCATTCTCGGATCCTCGAGTGCTTGCTCTGACTGGCTTGCAGCATGTTAAAGGCTGGCCGACCGGCTCCAGGAAATCCTTGCCTATGCTCAGTGAAACACCGCGGGGCCCCGTGGGGTGAACGATGTTCCCGGGCGATAGCAGGCCCAGTGCCAATGTCGCGGTGAGAAGCTCAAAGATAGCGAAACCCATTTTTGCTTGGTATAACCCTTCGTTCCTCGGCCCGAATATGAAGTGGCTCAAGGCGTAAAACAGCTCGAAGCCATATTTTGCGGAACTTCGGTGTTGCCACAGTCCGTCAGCTAATTTTGGAGGACGCTTCGCAAGCGTCGACAACAACACAGCAAATTGTCAAATGGGGTCGAACTCAAAATCACAAGTTCGATGGAGGTGAATCCTGGCCAAATCACCATATATGCTTGCTTGCTGTCTTCATGTTGAAGCGGCAACGCGGGCAGGTCACGGTGAGCTGGCTACTATGAGACCGGCGTCATAGCGCAAAAGCGAGGCGAGGATTCTTTCGTTCTCGGCCGAGCCAGCATCGACATTCTCAAATCGGGTGGGTATAAGATTTCTGCTTTGGATGCTGAGCGAGAAAGCCTAGATCTTCCCTGCATCATTGAAGCGATCGAAGTCGAGGTACTGAGGTACCGGACGATGAATTCGGGTAGCGCTTGTGTGGATGGGTATATTTCCGAAATCCCGCCGAGCTCAATGAGGGAAGACCTCCGGTCTAGATTGGCATGGTCCAAGTTGCCCACAATTCTTCGTGTTGTTGCCGATGGACTTCCCAAGAATCCAGCCGGCAAGATTGTGAAGAAGACATTGGTCGAGCTGTGGGGATGCTAAAGCAAAGTCCAGAACTAGTGTGTGTGGTCGCACTCGTCCGGCTCAGATAATTAGATGATCTCGTATTTGTCGCCCGGGCCGAAGCCCTTGACCCAACCAGGAGGTGAGCGAGGATCCCAGTATGCTATGTACAATTGCTCCCGCTTCAGAGCCGTGGGAGATCAGCCGAATCAATCACAGTCGATTAGACCGGGCGACCGGCAAATGTAGAGAATAGGGCTCAGCGCAACCACGGAGGCGTATGTCCTGAGATGAACCAATCATTCGCATGTCGATGGCCTTCTAAAGCGTGCAAACATCCAGCAATCATGGTCACATCGTCGTCTGTCTGAATTCATCGCGTTGATCCTAGCAATCCATCACCTTAGGACGTTTTTGCTGATTTGGATGTTGTTGCCACAATGGCTCCGTCAGTAGCGACTCAAATCTCATTCGAAACCTTCTCGAACGTCATTGATGGCAGCTTGCGTTCCTCCAAACACAAATATCAGGGTATCGATCCCAACACCAGCCGTCCGAACTGGGACGTACCAGTGGCTTCCCTAAAAGACGTGGATAACGCGGTAGACGCCGCCAATCGAGCATACAAGGAATGGAGAACGACGTCGTGGGAATATCGCAGAGAACGCATTAATCTGTTCAAAGAGACCGTGCAGGCTTATGGTCAGTCCTACTCAATGAGCAGGCTTGTTCGAGCATGATTTTCGGTGACAGTGAGCTGACCCTCGACCCACAGAAGAGGATTTGGTAGAAATATTGATCAAAGAGACCGGCAAGCCACGCCGTGTTGCAAAGGTGGAAGTCAGCGGCGTGTATGCACACTTCGACTGGCACATCAAGCTCGAGCAGCCAAAGGGCGAGGAATTTGATCTCCCCACACGGCATATTAGACATGTGTATGAGCCCTTGGGTGTGGCGGTGGCCATCTGTCCGTGGAATTTTCCACTCAAACTGAGCTTAGCCAAGCTCCTTCCAGCTGTTCAAATGGGCAATGCCGTTATCATTAAGCCAAGTCCATTTACACCGTACGTGGATTTATCCCATGTTTCTCCGTTCCGAAGCATAACCAAAGACATCGCGAGAACAGAATCATTGACGGCCGTATGACAGATACACTGCGCTCAAGATTGCAGAGATCGCCAATCTGATCTTCCCGCCAGGACTTGTACAGGCCCTCGGCGGCGATAATAGGCTAGGCCCCGCCTTGGTCGAGCATCCAGGTGTGCATAAGATCAGTTTCACTGGTTCGACCGCCGTAGGCAAGAGTATCATGGCTGCGGCAGCCAAGACACTCAAGCGGGTGACCTTGGAATTGGGTGGAAATGACCCTGCAATTGTCCTCCCCGACGCTGATATCGCGCAAGCTGCGCAGTTGATCGCAATGGTAATACCGTCATTAATTCTGTGGAAAGGTTAAGATAAGCTGATCAATAGTTCTAGGGCGCGTTCTACAACACCGGACAGGTCTGCGTCGCCACGAAACGTATCTATGTGCATTCCAGTGTTTACGACGTCTTCCTTACCGCCTTCACAAATGCAGTCAAGTCTCTGAAAGTAGGTAACGCAAACGATGAAGGAGTCATGCTAGGCCCCGTCCAAAACCAGAAGCAGTTTGACCGAATCAAGGACTTCTTCCATGACACCAAAGACAAAGGTTATCGACTCGCACTTGGTACGGTCGATTGTGAGGACTCCATAGGAGGCTTGTTCATCAACCCTACCATTATTGATGATCCCCCTGACCAGAGTATGATTGTTCAGGAGGAGCAATTTGGACCGATCGTGCCAATACAGAGATACCAAAGTGTTGACGAGGCCATCGGCCGGGCTAATAGCACCACGGCTGGACTGGGAGCGACTGTGTTTGGCACAAACAGCAAGCTCTTACAAGAGGTTGCAGAAAAACTGGACAGCGGAAACGTTTGGATCAATAGCTCCCCAACTGTTACACCAGAGGCACAGTTTGGCGGAGTCAAGGAGAGTGGCATCGGCACCGAGTTTGGCTCCTTGGGGATCCTCGCGTATGCTAACATTAAGACTATATCTACAGCTACAGTAGATAGATAGATGAGGTGTACCGCGTGCACGGTGCCCATACAGCGGAGAGGCAGCTGAGTAGCACGTGACTTGACCAATACGGAGTATCTTGCCTGCATCTCCTTGGCGTCAATAATTAGTGATTGGCCAGACTACAGAAGCGGGGACGAGCGGGGTTGCGCACTCTGAAAATCCCCAACTTTGCCCGGGGGGGAAATTTCCGGGGGCAATGGTGTCGCCCACAGCACCTCGCATAAAGACCGAACCACTCCCACGGGCGTGTCCGCGCTATCTAGCTTAATACACTTTGGGTGGTACACACAAGATTTTGATTCTTCGGCAAAGAGAGGAGGTTTTGACAATGCAAGCTGCCCCCAGCTTTCATTTGTCTCTGTCCAATACTTCGCCCCCAGGTCCGCCCGTGGCTCAGCGTGCGCGAGCGGCGTGTCGAGTATGTCGTGCCAAGAAGATCCGCTGTGATGCGAAGGACGGCAAACGGTGCTCAAACTGTATGCTTGAAAACATACATTGTGAAATAGTCCCTAAGCGACCACGAAGGTTAGGCCATTGCTTTGATCCTCTCCTCTCACATCAACCACCGCTGACTTCTGCCCAGCAGGCGGTTGAAGGCCCTTCCCACTCTTCTTCCCCTGGTGCTTCCAGTCCCCAGTGAGAGCTCGGTCGCAGTCGAAAGCAACCAGCCGCAGGACGGGATAGCACCATACAACGGCTCCCAGCCACAGGGGAACACTGGCAATGCGTCCCCCGAACACGGTGCATCTGCCGAGTACAGTCCCAACACTCATTCGCCCCAGTCTGAGGACTCTTCTGCCCGTGAAATCGAGTTGCCCTGGTCGCCAGGTGGTGCCGAGCACAGGCAAAGCCATTCCTATACAGCTCGCAGCCTTTCGCCCGTGTACGCCCCATCAACTGTACGGTCATCGGTTCAGGACTTGCCTGACTACATCAAGCCGATGCCGTCGCATCTGGACGCCGACGACATCGCATATCTGGAGAAGAAGGACGCCTTCACACTTCCTCACCCGGCACTCCGTGATGATTGCCTGCGCTGCTACTACCAATTCATGCACCCTCTGTACCCTACCGTGGAGTTTGACAAGATCTGGTCCACAGTCCACGCACCGCACGGTAGCACAGACAACATTAGCCTCTTATTGTTACAGGCCGTGATCTTTGCCGGAGGCATGTGGACCGACGTTAGGCTCGTACGAAAGGCGGGCTTTCTCAGCCGCAAGGCCTTCCGGCAAAGCTTGGACAGGCGAATCCGCGTCCTCTACGACGCGGACTATGAAGACGATCGGTTGACTTTGGTCCAATCTCTGTTACTCTGGTCATTCTGGTTCCGCAAAGCAAACGACCAAAAGGATGGCTGGTATTGGGTTGGCGTTGCCCATTCCATCGCGTGTAGCATGGACCTGCAATACTCGCCGCCGACAGACGCGACAGACGCGATCAATCAGCAAATGCAGCGCCTACGAAAGAAAGTCTGGTGGAGTTTGTGCAATAGAGAGATCATCGCAGCCTTCGATCTGAGGCGTGCGCCTAGGTTCACTATTGCCGTCGAGGACATCTCAACAATCACCCCGGACGATTTCACCCACCCGGAGGCTGGGTCAGTCACCGGGTCAGGCATGAACTGGCCTCCCGATGCTCCAAGCCACCTCCTGGCGTGTCTGAGTGTCGAATACATTAAATTGAATCAGATTCTTGGCAAAATTCTCAGCATAACCTGTCACCGGAGGACGGGCAACAAGATATTCGGTGCTCATTTGACCCAGGCCGCGAGGAATTCCAACACGATGCCATGGAACGAGAGACAGAAGGTGATAGATGACCTAATTGCGTGCAACCAGGAATTGGCGACCTGGCGCAAGCAGGTACCGATCGACCTCTGGCACAGTGGACCCTTACCGGACGATCCCTCCGAGTGGTCTGTAGCCACGGCGAGTCATCGAGCGATCCTGTGCATGATGTACAACATGGCTGTGATGACCATCCACCGACCACAGGCACTGCCGCTGGAGACATACCAGCCCAACCACACGGGCGTGACCGAGCGAGACAGAAAGCATCTGGCCCGCAGTCGGGTTCGACACGCCGCGCAAGAAATCACAAAGGTTGCTATGGACTTTTTCAACGCCGATCTGCTCAACTTCCTGCCCGCGACCGTGGTCAGCTGCATCATGCCCGTTAGCATCCACCACTCATTCGATACCTTTTCGGACGACAATACCATTCGCAACCAAGCATCTCGCCAACTCGACGAATGCAAAGCCATGCTTTACACGCTGGCAGAACGTCAATTCGCGCCGTCGTGGGTCTTGAAAACGATCGAGTACATACTAAGTCGAGCGAGGCGACGTGAACGGTCAAGCCAAGATGGCTCCAAGTCTGGTGATCGCCGGATGGACGACACGAGCAATACTCGCTCGGCCCCAGGCCAGACAACAGGTCCGCGTAACACGTCGAATACGTACCTTGACCAGCGCGCAGCCTTTAATGCCCAGGGGGCGTCCTCACTTCCACCACTCTTTGGTGGCGACGGCAACCCTGCCTCAGAGAGGCCAGACCACGCCTCAAGGGCCATGGAACTCACAAGCATGACCGGGATGGTATTACCCGGCGAGACCCAAACAGAAGGGGTGGGCCACTTCAATGACATCAGTCTTCAAGACGCGAGGTCGGCCATCCCGTCGTCCTCGGTGATGGACTTCCCACTTCTCTCCGATGCGGGCGGCTTCGGGGCCCTGGAGGATTCATGGTTCGATTTGGCTGGTATTCCTGACTCTGTCACTGGCTCGAACTGGCCCCTTGGCAGTTTCTAACGTCAACGATCAAGCAGGCTAGGGAAGCAAGCCGCGTAGGAACTAGACATTTACGATCATACGTGATAGGAACAACGTTGCATGAATGGCCTAATACGTCCGATCTGGTTCTTGCCTGTGGCTGGTTCTCTGGTACGTTTACTTGTGTGGATATCAAATTTAGATTGATTCAGTATCGAGCAATATGTTTTCAATGATGATGCAACTTCAGCGACACCTCCGGGGGATGTAATCTTGAAATCCACGGCCAACGAGCTTTGTGCGCTTCCAAATACATAGGCGTCACTTCGATGAATCAGACAGGATAACATACGATGTCTTACCATCCGAGACCTGGCGCGCCAACGGGTTTTTGACGTGTGCTGAGACAATATCTGAGCTGCCAGTGGGAGAACTCGGTCGCTGGGTGTTGAAGCCAGGACCCACTTTTCGGTCTAGACCTCAGCGTCGGCGAGGTCCTATACAGAAAGGTCAGCCTCGTCACCCAGGCGGAGCCTTGCGACGCGGAGAGCGCCGATAGGCAAGGATATGCAATGGAACACGGTCCAGGCACAAGAACGCTGCAATTGTCGGGGAAATACCCTACCAAAAGTGTATATAAACAGTCCCAGATGGTCAATGTCTGGAATGCAGGCAACATGCAAGTTCACACATACTCTCCATCATGACTATTCAGCCAATCAGAGCTCGTCGACTTCAACACTGGGCTTGGTCCTCGTGATCTCCAAAAATCCTCGCAATTTCTTCGAGCGGCAGGCCGAGAGTGTCTGGGAAAGTGAAAGCGACCAGGATGGCGAACAACAATGGTGGAATGATGAAACACAGGTAGAATTTTATCAGGGACCTACGCAACGCAGTAGGTATAAAGAGATTAGAGTAGCTGAATGCCTTATTCTATTCACGTAGTCCTATTGACAACGACTCAACGCTTGAGAAAAAGGAAGAGTTCTCTCTCAGCCGATTCAGGTGAGAGGAGACTCTTATAGCTTCCCCTCTTTCTGTCACGTGAAAAGGGTAAGGCAGCGTTAACCGATAGCCTTGTGCCTCAACCGTCCTTTGCCTTATCCTTTCCTTTTCTTTCTATACCGTCCACCCGATTCGGGTGGAGGGCGTAGAGTACTTGGGGACAACGGTGGGCTCGTGACAAATTTCCAGCCGATGGCCTCGAATGCTGTGGGCGCGATCTGGGTCCACAGTACATTAATCGCTGTGAGCGACGCGATGGTGATGACCAGTCCCTTAGCTCTGATGTGGGTTGGGAAGAGCTAGGCCATATATGCGAACATGGTGCCATCGAGGAAGAATTTAAAACTGAGGCAGTAAATGTATATCATTGCCACACCGGCGCGAAGGGCGGTCGTATTTGGGTGGGCGAGGTCGTCGGCTGATGAGGCGAAATTGGCAAGGATTGCAGCTAGCGCGATCAAGGTGCTGCAACAAACCGTGAGACCGGTCATAATGAGCTTGGGACGTGCGACTCGATCGATAATGAAGAATGAAAGTAGGCCGCCGGCTATGGCCATGGTGTTATAGCCCATGTTGTATCTGAGTTGGGTTAGTTTATCGAAACCGAGGCTGCCGTATATCGTAGGGCCGTAATTGTTGATCACGAGAATGCCCGAAGACTCGATGAAGACAACAGTGCTCGAACTTATAAGCGCTCGTTTGAGGTAAGCCGGCTTTCGGACCATCGCTGACCAAGAGCTGTCTAGCCTCTTCTCCCTTTTAATCGCTGCAGAGATCTGTTGCAACTCGACGGTCGCTTCCAGGGCTGTATGGAGGCGGCGAAGAACCGCCTGAGCGCGTTCCGGCTGTCGATTAACCAACAGCCATCGTGGAGATTCTGGAACAAAGGAAAGTGCGATGAGGTGGAAGGCTAACGGCACCAGCCCTACTATAAAGGGCCCTCTCCATGCCACATTGTCCTCTGTCGGCAAGTGGAAGAATGCGTAACCCATATACGATGCAAGGCCGTAGCCAAGGAGGATACCACAGCTGTGAAAGTCGGCGAGGGTACCACGGGTTGCTGGCGGTGCCGTCTCGCTGATCCACAGGGGAATAGCTGCTACCAGCATAAAGACACCTGCGCCGGCCACAGTGCGAAAGGCAATAAACATGCCGATGTTGACACTGCCAGCAAGGAGAGCATTAACGAGGATGCTGACTGCGCTGGAAACTCGAAGTGCACACAGCCGGCCCCAGGTATCTGCCATCCACGATATAGTGATAACTCCGAGAACACCGCCGGCAAAGAAGAGACCATTCGTAGTGGCTATGAGCTGCGTACCGTTGGATCTGGTGAGTAAATCGAAGTAGGTCAGGAAAGACGGCTGTGCTAGAGTCGTGCCGATGATAGAGGCCGCATATCCTGCGCCCAATGAGCCCACAGCCATAAATACTGTGACGAGAACATTGTAGACCGTGATTGTTTTTTAAGATTTTTCGAATGAGTGTGATCTCTGCCTGTGGGCGGTCGTGTCAGAGAATGTCTTCCATTTGGTAATTCTTTTATGATACGGAGAACACCCTCTACCACACGATCAGCTCGACGGTACCATCTGGGGATCCGGGGTACCATGCCATGTGTGGATATTGCTGTTCGGTCCGGTGATCCAATCAGAATCGCCGGGCCCAGTATTCCTTCTTTCTGTGGTTTCCACGCTAATCCGCTCCTTTACGTCTAGCTACTTTTGTCTCCGGCCGAAGCCTGAGTGGCGGTCCAAGCATTATGTATTACGTTTCACTGCCACATCTCCTCGAAAAGGCCTGAGCATTGCACAGAGGAGCACTTATCGTAACCATGTCTTCCTTCAAGCTTAAGGTCATCGCAGTGACTGGTGCTGCCAGCGGGATCGGACGTGCTGTGGCCCGCGAATGCGCCTCTCGCGGTGCCCGTCTCGCACTGGCAGACGTACAAGAAAAGCCTCTGAAAGAGCTCGCCGAAGAACTTAAGTCGCAAGGTGCAGAAGCTACGGTGACGATAGTTGATGTGTCGAGCTCGGAGAGCGTGGACAAGTGGATCGACAGCCCCGTGGATTTTTATGGCCGGCTCGATGGAGCGGCGAATATCGCGGGCATTGAAGGCGACCAAAAGGTCTTCTGCAGCATCTCCGAGTTGAAAAATTCATCTTGGGACAAGGTCATCAACGTCAATCTGACCGGCCTTTTCTACTGCTTGCGAGCCCAACTCCGAGCAATGAAGCACGGCGGCGCGATCGTCAATGCTGCTAGCATTGCCGCGCTTCGAGGCAGGGCCGGTATCTCAGCGTATAGTGTGAGTAAATCTGGCGTTGTTGGCTTAACCAGATGTGCCGCCGCCGAGTCTGGCGTTCGAGGCATCAGAGTGAATGCAGTAGCACCGTAAGTTATCTTCCCATATCCAATCCAGCAGATCCGGCTTTACTGATATACATTTTCGGCGCCAGAGGTCCAGTCCAAACACCACTGATGGACAGAGTCCTCTCCGAGACTGGCGGCGGGACCGATGCCGTTGACTCTAACCTCACCATTCCGAGAATGGGAACGCCGGAAGAATTGGCGAAAACCTTCGTCTTTCTGCTTAGTGACGACTCGAGTTGGACTACGGGATGTATCTACACTGTCGACGGAGGTGCAATGTGCTGAAAAACGCTTCATTGCTCTACCAAAAGCAAGTCATCATTGGCTGATATGGTCGGATTGACCAAGTAGAAGGGGACAAAGGGGACAGAGATGGCTACCTATGTCGAAGCTACTAGCAGCAAGGGCATCACCGCACAGTGGCGGCACTCAGCCTCTTCCTTTCGAGTATTGCCGTACTCGTGGCTGATTGTAAGACAGAAAGGCTTCCTTCTATCATAGCAGCACCACTTATGTTCCAGGTACGAGACATAGATTCCACCAACTATATTACCATTACTTGGGCTGCTACACAAGAAATTGTGGCCGTCCAGGATCTATTGACAGGTTGCCTATGATCATCTGTAGACCAGCCCGTCATCATGCTCTATGGCCTCGTCGCACCGCTTCTCGTATTCAGACAACCCACCCAGATAAGTCAGTGGCTGCACACGGGCTCCAGGAATGTTTGCTCTAGTCCACCACGACTCAGTAAACCTGACCAGATTCTCTTGGAATTGAGCGTCGAGTAACTTAGCCCATTCGTCTTCGGCCGCTTCTGTGGCTTCGATGGATTTTGCACCTCGCTCCTCTGCTTTCATGATCAGACGACCCACCAGATCAGTTTGACATTCCACGGTGGTTGGAGCGTTGTAGAGTGTCGTTGGCCCTGTGGCTGCAATCAGCGATGCTCCTAGGCTGGCAGGGCATCTTACATACCTTGCGGGCCAAACACGGTGAATAAGTTTGGATAGTCGGTAATCAGAAGACCCAGATATGTGTGGATCTTTGAGGCCCAGGAGTCCTTCAGCTCGACATTGCTACGGCTTTTGAGGCCTAAGTTATAATATCTGAGTGAAATAGTTAGCTGTATACACAATGCAACGTGGTGCAAAGACGATACTCACGATCCAGTGAAACTCTCGAACCCTGTAGCAAAAACTAAGACATCGAACTCGTGGGTGCTACCATCGCTCATGGCCACACCGTTCGGGAGAAACCTCTCAAATGAATTTTTCCGTAAGCTGATCAACTTGACATTGTCCCGGTTCAGTACCTCATAGTAGTCTTGCTCAAGCGGGCTGCGCTTAGTTCCAAAATAGAATAATGGGTCTGTTGGCGCGAGTATTTCCCGCTTGACCGGATCTGAGATTCTGGCACGGACCTTCTTCTTCCAGAAGTCGTATACTATTCTGTTTGCTTTCGGGTTATTCCTAGTGTCTGAAAAGGCAGCCAGGAATGCGAATCCTCCTTGTGACTAAGTCTTCTTAAAGATGGCTTCTCGTTCCTCAGGCGAAGTCTCCACAACCTTGGGACTACGCTTAAGAGGGAAGCTAGACCATAAGAGGCGACTTTCGCGGAATAGATCGGGATACGTGGCTCTTTACTAAATCCGCTGTTCCTCGGTTAAATCTCTCTAAACCATCGGTAGATAAGTACTTGGTCGTCGAATGAAGACTAATAGCTCGCTGGCCACTTTCGCTGACTCTTGGACGACCTAGATGCTAGTCGCTCCAGCGCCAATGACTATAACCTTTTTACCTTTTAGACTTATATTGTCCGGCCATTCTCGGGAATGATAGATCTCTCCTTAGAATTTGGATAGGCCTGGAAAGTTCGGAGTGTACGACTTATCCAAAGAACTATATGTCAAAACAAGATATTTACTCTTGGTGACTAGCTCAGTGTCTGTGGAGACCGTCTATATACCGTTGATGTCGTCCCAGGACATATTATATACTCTAGTGTTGAAGTATGTGTCTTTTCGTAGATCATAAGTCTCGTCAATATATTTGAAGTATACACACAGCTCAGCTCGGTCGGGAAATCGTTAAGTAAAGTTCCAGTCCTTCCAGGCCTCTAGAAAATTTAGCTGGTAGAAGGGGAATTCCGAGTCGACGCGGGCACCAGGGTATTTGTTCCAAAACCATGTGCCGCCGAATTCAGAGCCCGTCTCAACCACTTTGACGTTCAGGCCCAACTTTCGTAGCTTGTAAAGAGCGGCGATACCACTGAGTCCCGCGCCAACCACCAGCACATCGCAGTTAACAACACTGTGCACAGAGCCCATATTGAGTACTCGTTGAAGGCAGGATCGGTGTTGAAAGCGACACTAAATTTCTGATCGTTCTCCCGTCGATCTTCCAGAATTGGAAGGCGATATAGCACAATCACTATGCTTAGTAGAGTCACACGTGATCGAAACATATCGAATCCCTGGCGCTGGGGTAGGCACAGTTCTTTTATAATTTGCATAGCGTGACAATAGTTTGACTCCAATCATGAATATCTCACATCTCGAAAGCCTCCCCTGGCGAAACGCCCCGGACTCACGATATCTGTCCTTCGCGGAGTACGGTGTGCTATACTGAGGTCGAATTCAGGAATGTACCGGGTATGAAGTTTCGTCAATCGGCACAATCAACCAGTCACAAACCCCGACGGGCTGGCGCAAAGTTACAAACAGACCCGCCTCACTCCGGCCCGACGACTTTGCCCTGGCATTACAAGCTGCACAGGAAGATCGCGCGGCTGCCGCAGCCACTCGTGTCCCACATTCTCCTCGAACCTACGAGATACGAAGAGGACCAATCGGCCCGTGATCGATCCTACCATACAAACCCTGTGAATCCACACCCAGGTTCTGCACACATGCAAGTACCAGTCTGCTGAAAGCTCGGACTTAGACAAATGACTCCCAACGACAGTTAAGTTGTCAGATATAAGCAGTAACATTTGATCACTGCCTCTCAGAGACCCCCATCGACGTCGTAAACAGTGCGCTTTCGGCGACAGTGATTATCATGGCTGTCGAGATCGAGGTGCCCCCGAATACCGACCTATTAGGTCCGAAGCCGGTGGAGAAATACTTGAATGCTGACATGTCCATGGTGAAGACCCCGTCCGACGTTCCTTTCGACCCAGAGGTGTTGAAAAAGCGGTACGCTAAAGAACGCGATAAGCGCCGGCAGGAGGCAAAGGCACTTGGCGGCCTAAATCAGTTTCAACTCGTCGAGACGGACGGGCCATTCGCTGAATACCTGCGGGATCCCTGGGTAGACTCAACCTTCAGTCGGGCTCCTGTGACCGAGGATGTCGATGTCCTGATACTTGGTGGCGGCTACTCCGCACAGATTGTAGCGTCTAAACTTCTCGTGAAAGGAGTCACTAATTTGAAGCTTATCGATAAGGCCGGTGGCTTTGGTGGCACATAGTAAGAGGAAATTCCGTATCACTTCGAAGCTAACATTGCTGATGTGGACCCCAAGGTATTGGAATCGCTTCCCAGGTGCACAGTGTGACATTGAGTCATACATATATATACCTCTCCTCGAGGAGACAGAATACATACCAACGGAGAAATACGCTCGCGGCAAAGAATTACTCGCTCATTCTGAGAGAATCGGCCATCATTATGGTCTCTATGAGAAAGCCTTATTTTAGACAGAAGTACAATGCATTAGGATGAAAAGCCGTCGCTTTAGACAATTAAGACCAACAGAGATGACAAGATCCGAGCCAAATTTGTGATCCCTTATGCTGGACCCTTACATCGGCCTAAACTTCCAGGAATTCCAGGTATAGATCGCTTCAAGAAAAAATCCTTCCATTCCTCACGATGGGACTATGAATATACGGGTGGGGACTCAGCTAGCAACTTATATAAACTCCGCGATAAGCGCGTGGGCATCATCGGAACAGGCGCCACAGCGGTTCAGATTGTGCCTTACTTAGGTGAATGGGCCAAGAAATTATATATCTTTCAGCGTACGCCTTGTTCCGTGAGTATCAGAGGCAACAAGCCGACTGATTCAGTATAGGTAAAGTCTCTGAAGCCTAGCTGGTAGGAATATCGCACCATCAACTTCAACAACCTCTGCAACGGCATACGGAAAGAGGAAAATCTAATTCGTGATGGCTGGACCGACCTTCTTCCCGCTATCTTCGGACAGCAAGACCCTAGCCTAACTCCCGACGAAGCTGCTACAGTACGGTAACTCACCGATTATAGAAAGATGGAAGCTGTACGGGCTCGGGTGAGCAAAGTAGTCAAAGATCCTACTACTACTGAGTCCCTGAAGCCATGGTACAACGCCATGTGTAAAAGGCCTTGCTTCCACGACGACTACCTCCCGACATTCAACCGTCCGAACGTACATTTGATCGATACCATGGGCAAGAGTCTCGAAGGCGTAGATGAGACCGGGGTGCTGGCCAACGGCCAACATTACCCTGTCGATCTGCTCATATACGCCACCGGATTTAAGCACAGTACCTTCTTCTCACATCGCTCTAACATGGAGATCTATGGACGCGATGGTATTTCCTTGACCGAAGTCTGGAAAGATGGCCCCCGGACCTTACACGGCTGGAGTGCTCGGAATTTCCCTAACTACTTCTTCATTCACATTATTCAATCCACGCTCACGCCCACCTTCATCCATGCCGCAAGTGAAACCGCATCGCAGTTGGCATATGTGATTTCGGAATGCTAGACCCGAGGAATCAGAAGCATCGAGCCGACCGCGCAAGCCGAGGAGGACTGGGTCAACACCATCATCAGACTGGCCACTAAGCGCCTTCAATTCCTTGCGGAATGTACACCGGGCTACTACAATAATGAGGGCGAAGTGAACCTTTTCGCGGCGAGGGAGTCCGGGTACGGTGGAGGTGCGCCGGCTTTCATGAAGATCATGCGTGACTGGAGAGCCAAGGGCGATATGGCGGGCATGGACCTGAAGTTCTGACGCTAGAGTGATAGAGATTGCCGCCACAGGATACCAAATCTTAGTTATAGTATTGTTGTGGTTCTGAAGAGCTTTGACAGAGATGAGTAGAGATTACCCAGATTGCACCAGAGTATCTCTGGATGCGGGTAGACAAGTGATCGGTTCGCAGGTGTGATCAGGAGAACCCAGACAAGGAGTGGTAGTGGTTCACCTGTATCTTCTCGAGGACTCTGATAAACATGCGCACCGGTTCGCCAGCTTAGGCCAGACAATCTCAACGGCGTGTCGCTAAACAGGATCGAAAAATGGTGATCAGCCTGTCGAAGATTTCAACAGAGCCCTTTCCTCAGGCACGGACTCTCTCAACAGCCTGGAGACCAAGACGGATCATCTGCAGGCATCTGTGAATGCTTTGAAGAAGCAGCTGGCCGAGAAGGGCATTTCTTTGAAAGCAGCGACTATTCAGACAGATCATTCGCAGACGTCTGTCGATTCTTTGAGCACGCAGCTGGCCGAGAAGGACAAGTCGGGAATGTCTCCGGACAGCAACTTCGCTAGCAGCTTCGTACAACAGCAACTTCGGCATTTATGCTTGGCAGAATCTAACTACACCAAATTTAGCTGGCGTTTGTTTCTGCTAGACACACAAATCCTTTAAATCAGTTAGCGATCGAATATTGAGAAAATCTCGCAATCTGACCTCGTTGCCGCCTGTTTTGTATAGCCAACCTAGTGTTGATCGATCTCGTTCCAGCCTCGTTTGTGTCCTTCTAGCCTAGTTTATGCAATGGCCACCGAAATCTCTCCCTGGCGCGCACGTCCTGGCTGTCCTGACCACCTCCGCGGGCCACTTGAGAAGGCTGTAAACGACCTGCCAGTCTCGTTCCTTGTTGATCCTGCCAACAAGGAGACCTACAACACCATTGAGGAGTGCTACCAACGCCTAGTTGGATACTCGCTATCTCAGGGCTTTGACATTGTGAGGTCTTCAGGCGGAACACCGAGCAATCCAGGTAGTTCCTTCCTATGTATATACCACGGCGATCGCACTCGTAACACACGAGATCTTGAGGAGTCAGTTGAGGGGGATAAGGACGGCGTAATCGTCTCAAAACGCCAGCGGAATCTGACGCATATTCGTGGCACAGGGTGCCGATAGTCCTGCCGTGTGTCCTGGAAGTCAGTTAATAAACGAGGCAGTGCAAATAAGGCCTTTACTCTTACTACCAAGTCTCTAGAACACACTAGCCACCCATTGGGCGATAACCCTTTGATATTCAATGGCCACAGAGATCGATTTGCAGACGTTCAGGCCGCAAAGGCGCAGGCGCGTATCCACCGATTCAACACCCTGCCATTCTCTGCTAGTCGCAGGATCCTCGATTCCAGCGAAATAGGCGTTCTTTTGACATCAAAGGAGTACTATAATGTGGTCAGATATTTGCCTGCCTCAAAGGAAAGCGCAAAGACAATTAGTGGCCTAATCTTTGCTCTGCAGAACGAAGGGTTTGTATATGAAACGCGGCTCGAGGAGGTCGTCGACGAGGCTGGCGCAGTGGTTAGTAGGAAGTGCGTACAGATCTGGTTCTCACACCGTGGCCACCTTGATGCCGCCGCTCGATTTATCGCAGGATCTGTCTGCATTATCGATGCAACCTTCAATACAAATAAGCTGAGGATGCCTATGATCGTTGCAGTCGGTGTGCTGAATACCAACAAGACCTTTCCTGTTGCGTTCTCGTTCTGTCCGAGTGAGAACCACGCCTCCTATACCTTCTTTTGGGAGAGCCTCAAGTTGCACTTACCGGAGAGAGTAGTTGCGCCTGCGGTGGTTATCTCTGACCAGGCAAAGGCAATCCTGTCGTCGATTGAGCAGTGTTATCCCTCAGCGAGTCACCAGATCTGTGACTGGCACGCGGTGGAAGCGATGAAGGCAAGGTTCCGTAAAATGGGCCATACAACAGACCAAATCAAGGGCCAGGGCAGTGGCTCTAGAAAGGCCATTGAAGGCCTCGCCGATCGCGCCTGGGCCTATATCCGTGCGGACACTCAAGAGGCAGTTGAGGCCAGGCGGAACGACCTACAATTGCGACTAATCGAACCTAGGTATCTCGATGAATGGCGTGAAAAGGAAGATCGCGTCGTCACGCTCTTTACGCGCGGACTATCAAACCTAGGCCATTCATCTAGTCAGCGATCTGAGTCCTATCATAACGTTGTTACTCAGATAACGAACGGTCAATTACCTCTTGAAGTGGCTGTAAAACGGCTCTGTCAAACGATCTCAGGAGTGATCAAAGACATCGCTCAATCCGAGAGTTTATCGCTAGTAGGTTATCCTAGAGAGGCTCACGGCGCGATCTTCAAACACCTACGATTTAATGTCAGCGACTATGCCCTCAGAAAGGTTGCAATTGAGTGGTCTAATCTATGCGGAATTATGATCTCTGAGGATACTGACTTAGGTGATTGCCACTATTTATTGCCTAGGCAATTCCTCCTTCCTTGTCGCCACTATCTCAGACGTGCCTATTGTAATGGGAGAAGTTGGAAGTGGTGGATAGCGTTATAATTAGCTGGGGCGCCGACCCTAGACTATGGTTTTTCTTACATAGTTCTGGGGGACTATCTTTCATATAATACATAAGTAACTAAGTTACTAATAGAGAGAACTTCCCCTAGTTAAGTGTACGCGTTAAGAAGAGACCATACCCACCGCCGTACGAGTTAATACCCATGGCTAGTAGCCTCGTCCTAGTTCAGTGGTGCCACTAATAAGATCTTCGACGAATACTTATAGATAAGCGTCTCTCTACGAGCGGTGAGAGAAAATTACGAAAAACAACTAAACTACTTACTAGATTAACAGAACTAAAGAACTACCTACCTATTTATCTAACTAAATCTAGAGAAACTAACTATATATTGTAATGGGAGAAGTTGGAAGTGGTGAACAGAGTTATAATTAGCTGGGGCGCCGACTCTAGACTATGGTTCTTCTTATATAGTTCTAAGGAACTATCTTTCATAGACAACATAAGTAACTAAGTTACTAATAGAGAGGACTTCCCCTAGTTAAGTGTGCGCGTTGAGAAGAGACCATACCCACCGCCGTACGAGTTAATGCCCATGGCTAGTAGCCTCGCCCCAGTTCAGTGGTATCACCAACAAGATCTTCGACGAATACTTATAGATAGGCGTCTCTCTACGAGCGGTGAGAGAAAATTACGAAAAATAACTAAAATAAACTACTTGCTGGACCAATAGAACTAAAGAACTGCCTACCTATCTATCTAACTAAATCTAGAGAAACTAGCTATATATATAGAACCGCTGCGTAGAGTATATCATTTAGATCACTAGCTAAGTAAGTCTATCCCGCTATACGGAGCGATTTACGCTAGCTATTCATAGAGATCGCTGCTCGGGGTGCCTTTTAAGATTACTAGCTATATATATTTACTATCACTATGTAGAGTAAAGACCAACGACTTAACGACTATTTAGACTACCTAGAAGAAATGGGAGAGAAGTATCTCCTAGGAATGTAGGAATGCGTTTAACCCTAAAAACTCCTAACTTAAGAAGCTTAGGAGGAGTCGAAGAACGCGGATCTACTTAAGAAATAATAAAAATAAGCGGTTAAACTAAACTCACTAAAATAAGCGAAGTTAGAGCGCTACTAATCGAAAAGTAAATCTAGAATTTCAATGAAAATTACTAGTGAAGATAAGAAAGAAGCTCGACGAGAAAGTCGATGAAGAGATAAAGAGAAGAAGAGAAAAAATAATAATAAAAGTACTAAAAATAATAAAATATCTAAATCTTTCGGTTTCGTCATTAAGATTTTACACTATTTCGATTATAAGAGAAGAAGTAAGAATAATTTAATAAAGAAAAATATCGTCTACGGGAGAATCGAATAATAAAGAAAAGCTAGGATCTTCTACGATATCGAGTATTAACTTATAAGATCTATCGACGCCGAATTTAACGATATAATCGTTATACGTTCCTTCTATTATAATATTAATAAGAGAAATATCTTAGAGCTTAAACGAGAGTAATAATCTTTTATACTTTAATAGAAAGAACGCTATCTCTTTCTTCGAGAAGTTTAAAGAACTATATAAATATAACTAAATTATATTAAGCGAAGAATATATTTATAGATCTATTTACTTTATATTTAAAGTAAAGAAAGAACGCTATAAAGAGCTCACTAAGTATAACGTAATAAAATAGAAAAAGTTTAAAGAGAAGATCTTAAATAAATATAAAGATCGGAACGAAGTGTAGCGAATAATAAGTATTTAATATCTTTAGATACTCGCGAAGTATCGACGAAAGAAGTCTTAAAGTTTAGAGCTATATCTCCGTTAATTTCGTAAGACTATAACTTATCTAATTAGAATCGAAGCCGAGACTAACTATACTTACTATCGTCTTCTTTTATTAGAATTACTAAAGACTTATATAAATAAGATTCGAAAGAAATAGAATTTAATAAATCGAAAGCCGAAGAATTCGAACTTTTAGAAATACTAAAATTAAATAAAAGAACTATAAAATATTAATAATGAAAATAAGAAATTTACGTAAGGAGTACTCGACGAGAAGTTCTAAGAACTAACGTACGAAAGAAAGACTCGATCCTTAGCCGTTCGAAAGAAAGAATCGTAAGAATAACGTCGTCGTAAGAATCGTACGAATAGTAAAACGAAGTTCGATAGAAATATTTCGTCGCTAATAAATCGACCTTCTACCTCTAAGAGAAATAATTAATCGGTGAAGAAATTATCT